CCCGGCCTGAGCGGTTCAGGCAGCCAGGGGCTTGGGCGCACTCTCCCCGGATGCGGCGCGCCTTTTCCCTCCGCGGCCCAGGCAGCCAGAGGCTTGGGCGCACTCTCCCCAGATGTGGCGTGCCTTTTCCCTCCGCGGCTAGCGGCTCAGGCAGCCAGAGGCTTGGGCGCACTCTCCCCGGGTACGGCGCGCTTTTTCCCTCCGCGGCCCCAGCGCGCGCCGCCAGTCGGGTCTCGGGAAGTCTTTAGATAGGAACCGGGGGCCTGTTTGCAGTGTGGGAGGGGGTGGCTTCTCAGGGGCTGAGTTTGCCCTTTTCCCCTCCCCCCTGCCTCCTACCTCCAGCGGGGATGGGCCGGCTCTTCTCTGGAGTTTCTCAGTCCCTTTGTTTTGCGAACCGCCAGCAGTGTGTTCGGGCCTGTTAATTTTGACCCACAGTTTAAAAAAGCTCCCTCCGATTGCTCTCAGGGTCTTCGGGCCGGTCCTTACCCTAAGCAATGCCGCCCGCTCCTTTCCGTTCTGCCCCCGCTTGTTGCTGGCGGGTACGGGCGTCTGGGGTACTTTTCTACTGGGAGTTGCTTTTAGGCACGTAATCTGTGGGCCTTGTTTAATTTTTCCTCCCAGTTAGATTGCCGAAAACTTCCCCCAGTCCTGCCAGCGCGAGGGTTTCCTGGTGATTGGAAACTTCCTCTATTAAGACTCCCTTCCCGGGACGGGTCTCCGTCCGTAGCTCTTTTGACTCCCTTTTTATCTTTTATATTTTGTCCTACCTCCCTTCGAAGACAATGGGCTGCTTTTCTGGGCGCCTGATGTCCTCTGCTAGCGATCAGAAGTTGTTTTGTGAAATTTGCTCAGCGTTCAAATGTTCTTTCGATGAATTTGTAGGGGAGAAAGTGGTCTCCCCGTCCTATTCCTCCGCCATCTTGGCTCCTCGCTTCAGATATCCTATATATATTATATATATAAAAACATGAAGAAACATAAACTTGGAGAAACATATACATAGATATATACTTATATAATTTTGTGTAACCACAATGTTTTATAGCAGATCGCTAGACCTTTTCACTTTGTATGATGTTAACCCAATGCTTAAAATTTTTTTTCTTCAAAATTTAATTCATTGCTTAAGAGTTTCCCTCTTGTAGTTGGCACCAACTTCCTTCTGTTGACTTTTCTCCTCCCAGGCTGGCAGAAAAGGTTACAGATTTTGGAGTTCATCACTCTTCCCTTTGTTACACCCTCTCCATCTTCTGTGTTAGTGGTAACATTAAAAAAAAAAAGAAAAGTGGGATTTGGGGGCACATCCTGAAGTACATAAAGCAGACTCTTGCCAAGTATTTTGTCTTACCAGTAATTCTTTCTTCACCATTATTACCTCTTTTTTGAATATTTCATGCAACTGTATCCTACTTTTTAGAGGTGATATTTCTTTAACAATGTGTTAAAAGATTTATATTTAAAGAAGAATTATTTGAAATGCATTAGGGGAACTGCTTTGTAAAGGAATTCTGGTATAAAATCTCCTATAAATCCAATAAACACTCCTTAAATTATATTTAGTGAAAGTTGAATTTTTTATACATTGTGTTAAGTATCTTAAAGTAAGCCTTTTATTCTCTTATTAGTTAATAAGTACATTTAAAATCCCACTTTAAAAAGAATTTTTGTATTCATTTCTTTTTATCAGAAGTTAGTGGTTACTGATCTCTTTGGCTTTTTACAACCATCTGCCAAAACATTTCTGCTATAAAGCATCTGCAAAAGTGCTCATGTGACCTTTTTTCTAATATCCTATTCCAAGCCTTCTCATGTTTCCATGGACATTTCCTAAGGCATTTCTAACTTTAAGAAATGTGTTTCATATAATTTTAATCTACTTCCTCTGTTCTTTTAAATAGCATTTTCCTCTTTTTAGTTTATCTTTAATAATAAGAGATAAATTTTTTACCTTTGGCTGTAAATAACCATGTTTTTTACCCAAATCATCCACTGTTTAATCAATGAATTGCTATCCATTAAATAAATAAATGAATTGTTTATATTCTCTTCCCAACCCTACCCTTAGCAAATAATTAGAGGTAATTTATTTGGTCTCTAGTTTTTTGGTCTAGCATTTTAAAAAGTTTATAGAAAAGCTGAAAGGAAGAAGAACCAAAATCGTTAAAGGAATAATTATGTTAAAAAATTTTTTTTGATATATATATAGTTTTATACTTAGGCTTTACTTGGGTTGTTCTATTCAAGCAATGTGTAACAATCAGACAAACTACAAAGGTCAGGGGTTTATTGAGTGCCAAGTCTATGCAAAGAGCTGGCCTTAGTTGTCTCCGTGTGTGTCTTCTGTGAGGTTGTGGGAGGTAAGAGTTCAGCATTTGTCAGAAAGTCAGATCACATATTTTAGGATAAGAAATATCAGTGGTCAAACTACATAAAATTTCTAAATAGGTTGAAAAGAAATTTATGGACCTTTCATTCATGGTTCAGGAGTTGCTTGGTTAATTTATTTGATGATAGATTCATACATGACATGTAGCAATTTAGTATGTGGATTTTGTGTTAGGCAGCATGCTAACATTTAGTGAAATAGACTTGGATAAAGTAAATATTGGCCACTCACTATATGTCATCTTTCTAGTTTCCTCTTTTGAAATCCACTGCCCTCATAATTTCTCTGTAAAGCAATGCATTAAAAAAAGTATATCCAATTTAATTTTTTTAGTCTCATAAAGAAAGTACAGTTGAATTCAAAGTAATCTTATTACATTGAAAAGTGACCCAGAGGCAAATAGAAAATTAAAAGGAAGGTATGAGGAAAAGTAGATGGCACTAGTGGGTGGTTAGATGAAGGAAAGGGGTAGTTTATTGATGAGGGCCTAGAAAATAAGTGATCAGATTGAATGAGAAAAAAAAGAATGTCAGAGTCTTCTTAAGTTGCTAAGTATGGTTACTGAGTTGGTTAAACTTAATGAATGCTGTTTATGTAAAAGCACTATTGCAAATAAAACTATGACTAAGACATGGCCCCTTGAAAAGCATCATAGCCCAGTAAAAAATGCTGCAACAGAGCTACAAATAATGTGCAATGTGTGTAGAAAGGAGGAATGCCTTTGTTGATGGAAATGGTTTGGTGGCCAGTGAAATAACCAAGATGCTAGGTATAAAATATTTGAAAACCATCTGTATTAGAATTCTCCAGAGAAACATTTTAAAGCCACCTAAAGCATCTGACTTAAATATATTTTTAATGAATTGTTAATATTAGTAAGAATCTTGAAAAGTCTTAAGTTAAAAATGAATTCAAACAAATCCTTTGAGGCAGACTCCGATTAGGCAAGCCACATTATTCTTTTACAGCAAAAAAATATATATTTTTTTTATTTGGGGAAAATTTCTAATTCCACTTACAGTTGACTCTCAGTATCCAAGGGGTTTGGTTCCAAGTCCCTTGTATAAAATGGCATAGTATTTGCACATAACCTACACACATCCTCCCATATACTTTAAGTCACCTCTGAAAGTGAAAGTGAAGTCGCTCAGCCTCATGGGACTCTTTGCGACCCCATGGACTGTAGCCCACCAGGCTCCGCTGTCCATGGGATTGTTCAGGCAAGAATATTGGAGTGGGTTGCCATTTCCTTCTCCAGGGGATCTTCCCAACCCAGGGATCAAACCTGGGTCTCCCGCATTGCAGGCAGACTTTTTACCCTCTGAGCCACTAGGGAAGCAAGTCATCTCTAGACATCTCTAGACTGCTTATAATACCTAGTACAATACAAATGCTATGTAAATAGTTGTAAATACAGTGTAAATGCTGTGTAAATAGTTGATGGTGCAGGGCAAATTCAAGTTCTGTTTTTGGAGCTTTGTGGGCTTTTTTGTTTGTTTTTTGGTAGGTTGAGTCCAAGGATTTCAGAACCCTTGAATATGGAGGACCACCTGTACTTAATTATTTTATTACAAACTATATATTACTAGACTTGATGATCATTCAAAACAACACTGCAATTGTTCTGGCTTCCTGTAGTACTTATTCTTTGTATGGTTGATTAGTTCCCTTGACATCTCTCATATACTTTGCTTAGGTCTGGTAGTGTTGTAAGTCTTCTGCTGTTTGCCTATAAATGTGTGAACTTTGACACACAACCAAATAACCTGCTTCCTTTTGTCTGCCTGCTGCCTGGTACAGTGTAAAATAAGGCAAGGATTTCAAAACTTGGGGATTATCTGTTAAATTAGTTAAAGGAGGCCTTTACACTTGAGGTGACTATAATAGTGTATACCTCAGCAAGTCAAAATCTAAGCCTTTAAATGAATGCTTCAAGGTTACAAAATTGAAACCAAAGGACAACCAATCACAGACAGCCAACTAGGCTTTAAGCTATAGTCAGTCAGTAATATCCTTAGTTTTGTCATTTTTCTGTACCTGATCTCCTGTCAGTGGAGCATTCCTAACCACTTAAGGTTTGGCACTGCTGAATTGGAATTGATTTCTGTGCAAATAAACTCAATATTTTTTAATATGCCTCAGTTGTTTTTTTTTTAAACAGCATTCAACTATTTAGATCCTCTCTTCTCCATAATTCCTTCTACAACCTGTTTTAAAAAAAAGCAGGTTATATAACTTTTCCTAGCTTTTCTATAACCGTTTAAAAAAAAAAAGCAAAACTTCAAAATTCTGCTTAAACAGAAGGCTTTGTTGATAGTCCTCTTGGGTTCCTTTGACCATATTCCAGTAGAATTTTATTGTCCCTCTGAACTGTCATAGTATCATATATATATTCTGTCACACCGCTTGTTTCAAGGGTTTATAATTTTGCCTTTGTGCCTGTTTTCCAATAGATTTGTGCATTCCTTGAGAGTAAGAATAATTATATTATTTGCCCTGGATCTCTGATGCCTAGCACCATGCTGACTAATCTAATAGTTGGTACTCAACAGATGCTTGTTGATTGGATAAATTAATTTAATAAAATAGATTTCTCAAGTATAATTTCTTTTAGGCAAATTTCATCTGATTTCTAAGTTAGGAAGAGTGGAAAAAAGTGTGGAAGCTCACTGTGGAGCAGTGCTTGCAGGACGATGGAATTATGAAGGAACAGCATTAGTTACAGGTAAGTTATCTGCAGAAATGACATTTAAAATGAATTTTTTAAAGAAAAATTTCCAGAGGAACAGAATGTTTTAATTTAGCAGTAGTGTCTCTCCTTGTCTAATAGCAAGTAATTAGCACAGTATTGATCTAGACTGCTATGTAATGTTATAATTCAGAGTGTCATATTAGTTTTCTTACATGGCTAGTGGAGAGCATTCTGTCAAGAAGGTTTTGAAATAATCAAATATTGAGTAAATGTAAGTTTTAATTCTTCAAAATATTCTCATTTAAATGTGTGTGTGTGTGTGTGCGCGCGCGCGCACGCACACATGCACATGTTAGTTGCTCTGTTGCGTCTGACTCTTTGCGACCCCATGGACTATAACTTGCCAGCCTCCTCTGTCCATGGAATTCTCCAGGCAAGAATACTGGAGTGGGTTGCCATTCCTTTCTCCAGGGGATCTTCCTGACCCAGGGATCAAACCTGGGTCTCCTGCATTGCAGGCAGATTCTTTACCATCTGAGCCATCAAAATTCAAAATTTTCTCATTTAATTTACTCCTTTCTGTCTCTCTTCCATCTCCTGCCATATCAAGCATTTCTCATCTTCACCTGTTATATTAGATATCTATTGTTCTATGACAGATATCCCCAAAGTTAGTGACTTAAGATAACATGTATTAGCTAACAGTTTCTGTGAGACAGGGTACGTTTAGCTGGGTGGTTCTGTCTCAGAATCAAGAAGTTGGATGGGGCTGCAGTCGTATGAAGCCCTATTGGGGCTGGATGGTTCCAAGATGGCTCACTCATGTGGCTGTTGGCATGAGGTCCCACTTCCTCGGTGACTCTATGACTGAGGCCTAGCAGTTCCTTACAGCGTGCACCTCTCCATAGGGCTGCTTGAATGTTCTTACAGCGTGACTGCTGGAGATTCTCCCTGGGCGAATGATCCAAGAGAGAAGGATGGAAGTTGCAGTATATTTTATAACCCAGCCTTGGATGTCATACTCCATCGTTTCCACCATATTTTATTAGAAGCAAGTCACTAAGTATAGCCCAAACTGAAGGAGAGAGAAATTAAGCTTAACTTCTTAAAAGAGAGAATAACAGAGAGTTTGTAGTTATATTTGAAAACCATGACACCTGTCCCCTGGGCCTTTTGTAGGACTTTTATCAGTGAGTTGTCTCTTGTCTTGCCTATTTTTTCAACTTCTCCTTTTCCAGTGGTTTGTTTTTTTTTTTGTTTGTTTGTTTGTTTTCTTTTTCCCAGCATGTAAATGTGTTTAGATGCTATTTATCTTGAAAATTGAGGAAAAAGAAATAAAAACTCCTTCCTTTAATAAATAACTCTAGCTACGATTTCCTCTTTCTTTCCCTTTCAGGCAGACTGTTCAAAAGCATAGTCTGTTACTTCACTCCATTCAGTCCCCAATTCCCTGGAATTTGGCTGTAACTCTTATCACACTGAAAGCAGTTTTCTTAGAGTGCTTCTCGGAGGGAGATGTCAGTAAAAATGAGAGCATTATTTGAATAATATACTTACAAATCTTCTAAGATTAAAGGAAAAACAATTATTGTCATGAAAGTTAGGCTACTTTGATAAAATTGTTTCAAAGTAATTTCAGGTAAATTTTTTAGTTGTGAAGCACTGATGTATAATTAGAGAAACTTGTGTCTGAATTTTAAGTGTGCATTAGTGTAGACAGAGCTGATTTTTGTATGTATATGTAATGTTTACATATATTTCCTATAGGTAAAATGTCAATTATTATTTTCTTTTTATAGTTGGAGAAGATGGACAAATAAAAATATGGTCAAAGACTGGAATGCTAAGATCAACTTTAGCTCATCAAGGTATGTATTATAAATGTCTTAACATTTTCCTATAAAAATAGTCTAATGTAGTTCCTCAGATTGATTTTGGTCAGGTTCAAAACCTGAAATCTCTTACTTCTGTTTAAACTTTTTCCTCTTACTTTCATGTTTCCTGATGGGCCATGGTGACTTTTATTTGAGCCCAGAAATGTAAGAAATACTCAAGGACTTTTTCTTTGTTAGTGAATCTATAAAATAGAGTTATAGGCTAGTGATTCTTTTTAGTATAACTCTGAAGCATTATGTGCATATTCTATCTGAAATAGCATGGGGTGTCTAATAATAATAGAGTACATTCAATCTCTGTACTTAATAATTCTAATGACTTCTTAATATTTAGCACCCTTTCTGAATTGTGTTGCACATTTGATTTCAGTACTAATGAAGGGGAACAGACACTTTCATGATCCAAAACTTGGTAAAATAAAACTGCTTACAACAGCAGCTTGGTTTTCCATACTCACTGGGAAGAAGTGCCTATAAAATCAATCCAGAAGTCAGATTAATGTTGTCTTGAGCACATATCTGCTTTAGAAAGAGATTGCCAAAAAGCTTGCAGACTGTTCTTCAGAATTATATGATAAAGTCATATTGTGAAGCATCTCCAACAACTGACTTCCAAAAATTTTCAGATTTCATTTTTTAAATTATGTTCACTCTTAGGATAGTGTTAAAATAGCTATATTTCTTTAGCTACACATTAACCAAATGTTAGCAAAAGTAACCATAAGTGACATGTAGTGATTATCTCCTGAGGTTAAGTCTTTGGTACAGATGATCTCCAAATAGAATATGTAGCAGTGAGTAGAAAATTCAGAGTTCATAGAAACATTCCTGAGTAAATTTCAGTTAGGAAAAAAATATCAATTTATTGTTTCTTTAGTAATAAAGGATACCTTTAGAAAATAAATTTTATTTTAAGCTAATAAGAATAGGCATTTACTTTTGGCTTTATAATTTTTGTTAGTGCTAATTATTTGGCATTCTTACCTTATGATGTCTGACTTACAAGCAACTACAGAATTCTTTTGGAGATCATTACCACCCCCTTGGAGCTGAGCCTGCAGTTATTTTCAGCTGTAGCTGCTACTGATACATACCCTTTTCCCCTTTCTTTTCTTTTTTACTAAATATGTTGTCTAGAGAAGACACAGATCTTCAGAGAAATTTTGAAAGCTTATCTTATTACCATTACAATAATCTGAATTTTTGCCTGAGATTCTTCACCAGTTGTCATCCTAAGGCTCCTTTTCTTTCTTTAAATTCTTCCTAGTCATCTCCTTCCCTTTGATTACCCCTGGGGTCTACCATTTTGGACTTTCCAAAGTCTGAAGTTGAAACTTAGATTAAGTTGCTTAACATAAACATTGTTAATGATAGAGGGTAGAAGACATAGTACTTTTGGTTCAGTGCTGTCATTTATCTGTATAATGGAAAACAGATTGCTGCTTATTTCACTCTTAGACAGAAAATGCATTTAGAATTCCCAAACCTGCAGAGGAAGTTTGGAAGCCCAGTATATTCATGAATTAAGGACTTTTCATTCATCAAAGGTCACAGATGGCCTGTGTCCTGAATCTAGCCCACTAGCATGGTCCAGGCCCAGCATTAAAGATTAGGATATTTTACATTCTTTTATGGATCTCTTTGGTATCTTGAAAAATTGGAAGAACTGGCAACATTAAGTCTGCTTTCCAGAATAAATACAATCGGCTGGAGTTCAGTAGTGGCTGTGCCATTTTTAGTTGGATTTTAAACTTCTCTTAGTTTTCTTAGATTCCACATATAATACTTTACTCATTTATATTACATGGTAGAACACAACATAAACCTCTGAAGGGATTTGAGTTTGCAGCTCCTATTTTCAATAATATGTGTTTGTGCTCAGTTGTGTCTGACTCTTTGCGATCCCATGGACTACAGCCAGCCAGGCTCCTCTGTCCCTGGTCTTTTCCAGGCAATAATACTGGAGTGGGTTGCCATTTCCTACTCCCAATTTTCAATAATAGTGATCATAAAATTTTGATTGTTAGTATATGCCTTGCAGGGAGTGCTTACATCTTTTTAAAGTATAAATTTTTAATAGATACTAATTCACATAGTTCAGAATTTGAAGTGTAAGAAAGGGTATAAAGTTATCTCTTAAGTACTACCCTTGTCTTTCATATTACCCCTGTCTTCTGGCCACCCAGCAAACATTCCCAGAGGCATACTGCATCCACTACAATATGCTCCTTACTTGTTTTCAGTTGAATTGTGAACTGCATTGGGTATAGTTTCATATCAGTAAGTTAAAGTCTTCAAGTTTTTTTTTTCAAAGTAAACATACCATTTTACATTCCCACTAGAAATATATGAAGGTTCCAGTGTCTCCAAATACTCAAAACTTGTTACTGTATTTTTATTATAATCATCCTAGTGACTGTAAAGTAGTATCTCATTGTAGTTTTGGTTTGCATTTCTCTTATGACTAATGATGTTGAGCCTCTTTTCATGTACTTTATGGCTGTTTGTAGATCTTGTTTGGAGAAATATCTATTAAAATTCTTTGCACATTTTTAAATTGGGTTGTCTTTTTATTATCGAGTTGTAAGAGTTCTTTATGTATTCTGGTTAATAGACCATTGGATATATGATTTGCAACTTGGATGTATGACTTCACTGTTCTGTGGGTTTCCTTTTCATTTTCTTGATGACATCTTTTGAAGCACAGAGTTTTTTTGAATATTTATTTTACTTTTGTCTTCTGTGCCGGGTCTCTGTTGTGACACACGGGCTCTTCGTTGCTTCGTCAGGCGTTCTCTAGCTGTGCGGTATATGGGCTTCTCATCTTGGTGGCTTCTCTTTTTGCTGAGCACAGGCTCCAGGGCATGTGGACTCGGTATTGTGGCCACTGGCTTAGTTGCTCCATCCTGGTCCATGTGGGACCAGGGATCGAACCCTATCCTCTGCATTGGCAGGAGGATTTTGAACTACTGGACAACCAGCGAAGTCTCATAAGCACAAAAGTTTTGATGAAATTCAGTTTATCTATTTTTTTTCCTTTGATTGTTTATGTTTTGGTGTTATATCTAAGAAACTATTGCCAAATCCAAAATCATGGAGACTTTTATCTGTATTTTCTTGTAAAAGTTTTATAGTTTTAGAGCTTACATTTAGGTCTATGATCTATTTTGAGTTAGTTTTTGTGTATAGTATTTATTTTGGAGAGGGATGGATGGTGCTTTTTTTGTTCATTCCTTCCAGATAAATGGATAAATAGGATTTTCTTAAAAGCTAAATTATATATTATGTCATATAGGATAGGTAATTTTATTATGTATTCATTGAATCACGTAATGGTATTTTACACCAGCATTCCAAACGGCTCCAATTTCCTTAACATCATATGCTATTAAATTGCTGATCATTTTTATCCTATCTGAATCTTGTTATTCTTCTTACTCAAGGTTTATGTTAATTATGAGACTAATGAGCAAAACTAAATTAGGTAGATTTTATTTAACCCATTAGTATTTCAGCTTAATAACTAGTATCTTTTTCTAGGTTAAAAATTATAAATTCACTATAGAACTGTGATTTTAATTTATGAATTTTTGGTCATTGTTGCCACCCACACTTTCCTAATAAGCATAGACTTTTCCCATTTTATTTCTGGGAAAAATCATTGAAGAAGTTAAGTTGTAATGACATTAACCCTGAAGGAAAAGTCCATAGTTATTTATAAGGTTTGTTTGATTTACTATAGGCTACAAATTTTGAGGATAGTTATAAATGTAATCTACTGAGAGCTAAATGCTAAAGTCTCAAGTAAAATGACCAAGGCAGATGGAGGTGGGGGACTCAGAGCCCCTTTGAGGAGAAAAACTAAATTTTGACGCAAAAATGAAATAACATAAGCCTGAATTACTCTAAGACTTGGAATTATGTGAACAATATTGAAAGCACTTTATGATTTTTTAACTACATGTTCATGTTAATTGTACTTATTCCTTGATGAATAGAAAAATTCCTGAATTCATTTCTTGATAATTAGAGGCAGTCATAAAGATGGAAAAAGTCATAGTCATCCCCTTCTCCAATGCAGAAAAAGCATTAATTCTGTTTTTTAGTGGGATAGGGGTAGAATTTGACTATGTTTAAAAATGATTCTTATTGGTGCCTATCAAGAGTTATTTTTCCTTATTAGAGAAAAGTAATATGTAGGCCAAGAATAATTATAATGACGCCCTATCTTGTGTTACATTGTATATTTTAATTATAAATTAAAACTGGAAGAAATATTGTAAACCTTTAAGGACATTTCCCTTACTGTATTCAAATGGATTAAAGAGATGACAAAACATGGAAGCTCCGTATAATGAATTTAGTAAAGGAAATATAAATACTGTTAACACAAGGCAGAGTGTGCTGGTTGCCTTAAGGCATTGTGGGAAGACAGGAAGGCAGAGATGAATGCTTTGAGGGGAGAGAAGGTATCAGAATACCTTCTCTGGTAAATACTGCAGCATCTTTTAACTAGACTTTGAAGGATAAAGAAATTAGGTAGGGAAAAGGGCTTGTTGACAATGCAGCAGCGCTCTGGAGGAAGTTAGATGATCAGAGGCACAGAGACAGACCAGCATAAGGCCTGGGAGTCAGGTGAGTGGGAGCAGACCCCTTGGGCCAGAGTGTAGGCTGTGTGAGGGATGCTACTGCCAGAGGGATTAAGACACAGATAGCCTCAGACATTAAATGAAGGGGGTTGGAGTTTATACTTTTTCTTTTTAAATATTTCTTTTTATTTATTTGACTGTGGTCTTAGTTGGAGAATGTGAGATCTAGTTCCTTCACCAGGAATTGAACTCAAGGGCCTCCTGCATTGGGAGCAGGGAATCCTAGCCACTGGACCACCAGGGAAGTATAGTTGGATTTTGTTCTATAACCATATAAAAATCTTTAAAAGATGAGCAGGAGAGTAAGAGATAGAGCCTGTTTCTTAAGGTAGATTTTGTTTTTGTTTTAGTCAGTCATGTCTGACTCTTGGCAACCCCATGGACTGTAGCCTGCAAGTCTCCTCTGTCCATGGAATTTCCCAGGCAAGAATACTGGAGTGGGTTGCATTTCCTTCTCCAGGGGATCTTCCTGACCCAGAGACTGAACCTGCATCTCCTGCTTGACAGGTGGATTCTTTACGACTGTGCCACCTGGGAAATTCTTTAGGAAGATTACCTTAGCAGTAGGATGTAGGATCAATTAGAGGAGGTAGAGGTTACATTGGGGTGACTGGTACAGAGGTTACTGAGGTGTTCTCTGCTAGTGTGCAGTGAGGCTTGAACAGAGGTGGTGATTGAGAGTGGTTGGAAAAAGTGCGTAGTTCTCAGCGGCTGAGAGGAATGAATCACCCTGTGAGAGGTGAAGAATTCAGAGGAAGAATGAATGAGGGAATACATGGGGAGGGATAATATACAAATATGTAGAGTTTGAAGTTTTGGCATGTCTTTGGGGTAGATGGAAATTTGTTAGAACTCAGAAATAAAGGCTGAAATATTAATGTGAGAGTCTGCCTCAGAAAGGTGAAAGGTGAAGCTATGGAGGAAGCTGAGATCCTCAAGGGAGAGGTGACTGAGGATAGAAAGTAAAGAAACACATGCCTTCATTTTAGCTTTTTTTCTCTATACTGACCTGGCGACATACACAGCCAAAAAGTTGTTTGTTTTTTATTTTGAGGAATATATTTCACTTGATGTTACTTATTTGTTAGTACATGTCTCTACAAATAGAATGAAAGGGAGATAATTCTTTGTTTTTGAACTCTTAATGATTTGACCACCAAAAAAATTGAAAAGCTTCCTGGCAAATATTGCAGCATATTTTAACTAGGTTTTAAAGGATTAAGTGCCTACTCCCATGAGCAACACAATAACAAATGGTTGCTTATTTCATTACAAAGTAGTAGTAGTGGTTACTAATAGGTAGTGCTTGTATAGTGCTTATATAGTGGTTACTAATAGGTAGTGCTTGTATAGTGCTTATATAGTGGTTACTAATAGGTAGTGCTTGTATAGTGCTTATATAGTGGTTACTAATAGGTAGTGCTTGTATAGTGCTTATATAGTGGTTACTAATAGGTAGTGCTTGTATAGTGCCAAACTCTTCTCTGCCTTCTTACGTTCACTCGGTGCAGACCTACACTGCATTCAACACAAAGGCAGCTAATGCTTCATGGTAATAGTGAAGAGTTTGTTTCAAAAGCATTCTGAAAAACATGCAAAAACAGCATTTTAGGGGATACCTTTAGTATGAATGTGAAAAGCATGGTATGTTTGACTATGTACTTCCTTAAAACAATTGAAATACATTTTTGTCTCCTGTGGTTTAAAATGCCTTCAACAGGTTGAAAGAATTTAGATAATTTGTTTTACAGAGAGATAAGGGTCTGACATTTAACACAACCCCAGGTGCATGTGGTTTCTTAAAAAATGTCAAAAAGATCACATGATCTTAGTGTACAAAGTCAGAAAAACAAGATCTTTTTGGGTGTCTTAACTGAAATGGAGCATAAATAAAAATTCCCAGTATAAAAAGCAAGAAATCAATTATTTCAAAACTATTTACGTTTTTTGTCCATTTTTGCTAAAGATGAAATTAATAACATCTCATTACATGATTTGCTAAATTTTTTGTTGTAAAGTTTTTTAACCTGAAGGCTATATTATTATTTTCATACTGACTTTGCAAGGTGAAGTGTAGCTTTAATAAATGTTTTTAAAAAACATTTAAAAATATTAGAGATTTGTTTCAAATGCTAGTGAGATGGATTTTTTATAATAGAAATCATTGTTTTCATTATGAAGCTAATTCATCCACATTTAATAATCTTCTCCAGAACCACCTAAATCAAAGTTGTATAGCAATAGACATTCATATATGTAGGAATTTCACACTTAACATTTTATTCTAAATGTAAAGAATGAATATAAAGATGCATTCTCTTAGTTCTTGATGTTATATACATTTTGAATATTGCTGATTAGGAAGCTGTAACTAATAAGGCAGCTATTGATCTTATTTAGGATTGCTTATTTATCATAAAAAATTCCTTGTTTGTTTTTGGGTTGAAGGAATGTGGTTAAAACCCACATATTTTAACAAAGGAATTGTTTAAATTTTCCTTTATAAGTTTATTTTGTTTTATTCTTTAAGTTACTATACCTGTGTCTTTGACAGTATTATTGTTTAAAAAATTATCTTATAAGCAGGAAATGAATGATCTCCACATCCCAACATGGGAGGTAAGTATTCTGAAGATTTATAAGGTTTATAAACAAGGAAATGGTGACACAGCTGACTTAATGGAGCCACAGATTCAATGTGAAAGAGGACATAAGAGTCCCTAGCTCTTCATCCTATACCCCAAACCATGTCTTTTACCACAACTAAAGGGCTAGAGTCACATCCTGTATAGCTGAATGGGAGTTGTATTTACTGAATTATTTCCTTGGGGGTAGATGTTTATCATAGTTTTGTATACACTGAGGAAAGTGTAATTTTACTGAGTGTATTCATGAAGCTTTGATAATTGATAATTAAAATATATAAATTTACTTTTTTGCACAATAATTACAATTGTAATAATGGAATAAAGAAGGAACCTGTAATTTACTCCCTCATTTCCTTACAGTGCTTACCAAGAATCACGTTTGGAATATATGAAATTTTGATTTACATTTTCTGGAGAGTTTATTAGAGTTGAACTCTGTTCATTTGGAGATGTACTTTGAAGCCCAGGTCAGCTCCTGGCTACTCCCAGATAATGTTCCAAGAGAATGTAGTTACTAAGAATAGAAGAAGTACCTTCAGAGGTGAGCCATCTCATTAGCCATCTGTAGGTTCCTCTGAATCAAAACAATCCTAGGTGTCACCAACTGACCAGGAAATTTAGACCCAGTATAATATCTAACCTATACCATGGAAGGAATGCTTATGGAGTTTTTTGGATTAGGTCTAAATCAGATTTTCTAAGTCCTCTAAGTCTGGTTCCCATCACTTCATGGCAAATAGAAGGGGGAAAAGTAGGAACACTGACATATTTTATTTTCTTGGGCTCCAAAATCACTGCAGATGGTGACTGCAGCCATGAAATTAAAAAAGATACTTGCTCCTTGGAAGGAAAGCTATGGCAGATCTAAATAGGGTATTAAAAAGCAGAGACAACACTTTGCTGACAAAGGTCCATATAGCCAAACCTATGGTTTTTCCAGTAGTTATGTACGGATGTGAGAGTTGAACCATAAAGAAGGCTGAGTGCGAAAGAATTGATGCTTTTGAACTGTGGTGTTGGAGAAGACTCTTGAGAGTCCCTTGGACAGTAAGGAGATCAAACTAGCCAGTCCTAAAGGAAATCAACCTTGAATATTTTTTGGAAGGACTGATGCTGATGCTGAAGCTCCAATACTTTGGCCACCTGGTGCAAAGAGCTGACTCATTGGAAAGGACCCTGATGCTGGGAAAGACTGAAGGCAGGAGGAGAAGGGGATGACACAGAATGAGATGGTTGGATGGCATTACAGACTCAATGGCCATGAATCTGAGTAAACTCCCAGAGATAGTGATGGACAGGGAAGCCTGGCAGTCCGTGGAGTTGCAAAGAGTCAGACGTGACTTAGCAAAGCCCTGTAAAGCACTTGAGTGTTGTTTTAGTTGCCAAGTCTTCTGTGACCCCATGGGCTATTGGCTCCTCTGTCCATGGGATTTCCCAGGCAAGAGTACTGGAGTGGGTTGCCATTTCCTTCTCCAGGGAATCTTCCCGACCTAGGGATCAAACCCAAGTCTCCTGCATCTTATACATTGGCAGGCAGATTCTTTACCACTGTGCCACCTGGGAAACCCAATTACAGCACTTTTCTTACTGAAATTTACTCCCCGTTGATTGCTGATTGCTCCCTGTTGATTCAATCTGTTGGGTTTTCCATTTCAATAAACACATCTTACTGATTGCTCATAAATCCTTAGATTTAGATTTCATTTTACTGTGAATGTAAATTCCTGAAGGATTTATTCACTCATTCACATAAAGTTAGCCTGACTTAGGAATCCTAGATAATTTTTAAAGGCTTGATTTTATAAATATAAATGGGTTAATATTTTATAGGTTAATTTTATAACCTTGATTCACTTCTGTAATGAATAGATTCTACTGAATAGGTAACTGGATCAGACAGTGGATTACAGATAATTCAATGCTCTCAGTTGATATGATATTCATTTTTTAAAAGATAGGCTCAAGCAAAGCATAGTCTTCCAGAAGATATCAGGTAATCTGCAAAGTAATTGAATTAAAAAATACTTAAATCTTATCTCTAGGATTCCTATCCTAGGAATCACTAAATTCCTGCTCTAGGAAATTGAAAACAGTATGAAATTTAATGTTTGTAGTATGGTGGGTAAATCAAATTTGTACCTTTCCTATGGAAGTGGAGTCAACTTTATCCTGGCAATACTTTAGCCTAACTTCCAGGCGAAAGCCACACTTGATAGACAGCAAAACTTTCCCTAACCTCATATTTACTTTGCCTTTTATGTTTCAGTATCAGGCTATATACTCTGGTTTGGATAGGCCATTGAATAAGGAGGAAATGAAATGATACCTCAAATTGATTTTTGACTTTCCTAACAATCTCCGTTTTGTAAAGCATGATAATTATTATTTTTTTTCCCTTTTTACAGGAACACCAGTGTATTCGGTAGCATGGGGCCCTGATTCAGAAAAGGTTCTTTACACAGCAGGCAAGCAGCTGATCATTAAACCACTTCAACCAAATGCTAAAATTTTACAGGTACTTCTTAGGCATTTGTAAATTGTTATCAGGATCTGCCAGACTGCTCAGTAAGAGGTCACTTTCTTAGGAGTCCCTTTCTTCTGGGTGGTCTTGTTATAGTCGAGGCTTTTAAGTATGTGGTTTTATCAGCCTTTACTATAGAACAGGGAATACCTGTTGATGTTTCCAACAAGGTTCACTTTGCTCTTATTCCAACTCTCATTATACCAGTAAATCATAAATATGTTTACATGATTTGGCACAAAATTCAAATTAGCACAGTCAGCCTCACATGTATAGATTTGAGACAGGATGGGACTAAATCGTAAAACTTTAAAAACTTGTTTAGGCTGTTTTTTATCATCTCTAGGGTCTTCTTCCCCCTCCTCCCCATTGTCTGTTCAGTACCCTTGAACTTTCTCTAAGACCCTAGAATTCTTTAGTTATTTATTTAAAGTGGGTTGGGGGTAGTCAATGTAATGCTTAGAACAAATTGGGTAGATACAATTTTACCAGTTACAGGGAAGCAGAACAATAGTGGCAGTTAAGACAGGTCAGGGTAGGACAAATTAATGGAAAACCTTTAAGCCTATCTCAGATTTTGATGTTTGATTTCAGTGTGAAGAGGCAGAATCATTTTCTTCATATTTTGATAGTAACACAGTATGGTGTAGGTAATAGAAATACAGGTTTTTGAGTTAGTCACCTAGGTTCAAATGTTTATTACTTATATGTAACTTTAGGCAAATTATAAAATATCTCAGAGCTTAAGCTTTCTCATCTCTTACATGTGATCCTAATACCTAATTGATAGGATTGTTGTGAGGATTAAATGAGTTAAATTACAAAGTACATAGGACAGTGCATATAATAAAAATATTGAGTGTACACAATAAAGAGCAGTTGTTATTATTGATGTTATGGTGTTATTATATCATCTGTAACTTTTATTCAGCCGCTAATAAATTAGAGCCAAGGAGGCCAGTTAATAGGTCAGGGATTTGGTGCTGGAGATTCACTGGCTACGGAAGGGATAAAAGTGTTTTAAGAAGAAGCATCAGGGTTTTTAGTTTGTTTTTTGCCATGCTGTGTGGCTTCCAGGATCTTAGTTCCTGGACCAGGGATTGAACCTTAGTTCCTGGGTTCCTGGCAGTGTAAGCTCAGAGTCCTAACTACTGGACTACCAGGGAATTCCCAAGAAGCATCGTGTTTAACAGTTCAGTAGATAGAGAATTTGGAGAGTAAGGATATAGAAATGACTTTGAGGTTACATATTAGTCACTTCTGTGTAGAATTATGCTATACATATTCCATACAGTCATCGTGTATTTACGTTTTTACTGCATGCGGAACACTCTGCTAAGAACTGTGAAACAACAGAAGGGAAAGAAGCTAGGGAAGAGGACTGGTTCTTCCTGCCTTTAGTCAAAGTCCTTCCATACCACTTATACCCTGAAAATGTTCTTTGAAATCATACAGCAAAAGCAGGCCCAATGAATCTTTTAATTTATAAATATATGATTTGTTTGTGCTGTGCTGTGCTTAGTCGCTCAGTTGTGTCCAACTCTTTGCAATCCTATGGCCTGTAGCCTGCCAGGCACCTCTGTCCATGGGGATTCTCCAGGCAAGAATACTGGAATGGGTTGCCATGCCCTCCTCCAGGGGATCTTCCCAACCCAAGGATTGAACCCAGGTCTCTCGAATTGCAGGCAGATTCTTTACCGTCTGAGCCACCAGGGAAGCCCATGATTTGTTCCGACACCTGTAATTTAGCATATATAAATTAAACTCGGGAAGATGATCATGTCACCATTGATAAAGTTCTGGTTTTGTGGCTCAGTGAAACCTTTGACTCAGGAAATAGTGGAGGGAAAAATTCAGCTAGAGTGAAGGAGTTAAAGGAGTTAAATAGAATTTGTAATTTAATGCAAATCTTCTATTCCTTTTGGAAAACTAAAGCTCCAGCAGTTTCTCCTTGGGTATAAATATATATTCAACTTTAGATTGTTCACAAAAAAGAATGCTTACTTAATTCTTGCTTGTAGAATACAGTTCAAAAGTGTACACCTCATTTCCTTTAAGAGCTTTAGGGACTCTTCTAGAGGCCCAGAACTTGGTTTCACAGTGAAGAAACTTCTGTTTATTTAGTCAATCAGTGATAATGTGATGCATACTTATTATATCTCAGGCACTCTGTTGAGTATAAGCCTTGTACTATAAGATATTCAAAGTGAAACAGAACATAGTTTCTGGTTTCAAGGAGCTCATGGTTCAAAGGAATTTCACAAAATGCCTAATACCTTAAAAAATAGTTGAAAACTGTATGCATTATTTATAATGTGTAAATATATGTACTGTATAAGTGATATCCTAAATTACAAGGAAAATTTAAACCGTATTTTGTTCCTAACATTTAAATATGAAAATTTTATTTTTTAACTTTAAAATAAAACTCTTTGAGAATATCTGCATGTGTGTATCTTTATATATCTATGTTTGTATATTGAAATTTTTATCTTAGCAGTTTATTTCAGGACAGTGGCTTAATTTAAAGTAACTTGTGAAAATTATTGCTTTCAAAACATTTGTTTTTGACAGTGTATATTTTTATGTATTTTGAATAAAGCAAGTTATGAATTATTGCTTATTCTTGGGGCTTGCTGCTGCTGCTCATTTGACCCTAATTTGATGTGTTTTTTTTTTTTTCCATATACATGAAGAACAATAGATTGGGAAGGATCTATAGAATGAAAATCCTTGAAATCAGTCACTCTTTGATGCAAACTTAGTTGACTCAGACATTAAAACATACCTTATAGTCTTCAAGAAAAATTCTTTTTCAGTTATATTATTCAAATATAGTGAAAGATTAATGGCTTTTAATTACATGTGTGGTAATAGCTAAATGAGCACATAAATTATATTTAAGAGTGATAAGACATCCATATTTACTTTCTAGATTGTCCAATTTTGGGGTGACTTATGTAGATATATACACAAATATGTATGTATTCTGTATATGTATAGAATATATATTTCTGTAGAAAGCCTCTTTTTTTATATAGTAAATACAGCAGAAGTTTCTCAGAGTAGTTAGTGTCTATTCTAAGGACATAAAGGTAAAGAGAATGAATCTTAGGGGAATGAACAGGAGAGAATAAAGAGAGTAATAAAGAGGATGTCCATGTAGTAGAATATTTTTTTAAAAAGAAAAGAATTAGCAAACAAAAATGAAAGCAGTATCAATAACAGCATCAGCTGTGCAAAGGGAGAAAAACTTGGATTTAACTAAGTTTTGGAGTACGTAACATATGTTCATATTCATTCCATTGTCATCACACAGACTTCAAGCTTGTAACAGTTCAACAGCAAGTGATTTTCCATCTGGGGTCCAGGCTATTGAGGAGACTTATAAGGATGTAAGTTATATAGTGGATGTCATAGCGCAAGGTGCTTTTCATTAGTTTAAATCAGAAATGAAACAAACAGATAGCTTGTGCATAATGGCTATGAAAGGAAGATAGGAGTTTTCTCAAAGAAGACTAGAGAACACTAGAAAGAGGCTGAAAAAAAAAAGTCTTAGAAAGTTTTCAGTGCCCTTGCAGTTATAATTTATATCTTATTTTTTCTCTTAGTGGAAAGCTCATGATGGCATTATTTTAAAAGTGGATTGGAACTCTGTCAATGATTTGATTTTATCTGCTGGCGAAGACTGTAAATATAAGGTATGTTGGAATTTATCAACTGGTTGAAAGAATCTAATTTTGGTGAAAAGTATTTAGCATATATGAATATTCTTTAAGTCCTTCACTTTAGCCATATCTTTTAATCTAACAATTTAGGAAATTGTTATTTTATAATTTTCAGTGGTATTTTGAAGTGTTGCCTTTCTCCTTGGCCTATTTCATTGACCTATAAAATTTGATTTAATGAGTAGTAACATGAATACAATGCCTTGTTTTAGTGACTATTTAAATCAATTTAAGGTTTAAAAAGTCAACCATACTGGTTTATTAAACGTTAATCAACTCCAGACAAAAATAATTTGTGAGGAAGAATAAGATTTATGGTAAATATAGTTGGAAAAAATTTGGCTCAAATAAATATTTTCAGGGAAAGTTGATAGAGCACTTACTGAACAAAAAAATTTAAGCAAAAAACAGAATATCTCAAAATGTTATTATTAAATTTAAAAGGATTACAGTGGGTAGGTTTTAGAATTAATTAAAGACTTAGTAAAATCCAAAATTATCATGATGTTACTGTAACTTTTTCTTTGAGATATTTAGGTTTCAGGAATACAGCTTCCCGCCCCCACCCCGAGCCCCCCAACCTTTGTAGATAGTAAAGACATGTAATTGCTAATATTATAAAGTGATGATTTCTAAATCTTTACTTGATATTTTATTGGAAGGCAGACTTGTTTGTAATAATGTGGTGACTGCTATAAAAGATTTTTTAAATTTACTTTTGTAGGTATGGGATAGTTACGGCCGCCCTCTCTACAATTCTCAACCTCATGAGCATCCTATTACCTCAGTAGCCTGGGCTCCAGATGGAGAATTATTTGCTGTTGGATCATTTCATACTTTACGCTTGTGCGATAAAACTGGGGTAAGTCTTAGTGGTGAGCAATCACAGATGTGCTGTCATAAATGTGATAATGCACAACACACCTAGTTTTTAGTCTTTAAAAAACATTTTCAGTGATGCATTTGACTGCATCTTTCTGATTTGTCTTCTTAATATATTGGTTGAATCAATTCCAGATTTATGGGACCATCCAAGCTCTTTAAGTTCAGTTTGAAGACTGAGTATGTTCTCTACTATCGTCTTTCTGAAAATACTTATTTTAAGCATATTTGTGAAAGATAGTAAAGTGTTAAAATTTATACCCAATCAACATAGAGAGTTGAGTTTTGAACTTTTTTTTTAACTGTCAATATGCTTCATACAAAAATTTTGGTCGCATATTTTTGGTAAAGAATTGGTAGTAAATTTTTTAAATGGTCATTTTAATACCAAAGATTTCATATTTGAATGCAGGTATGATTTTTCTCTCATAAGAGAGTATGCCCTGTATACAAATTCTGTTTAAAACATAGGCAAACAACCCAGCTCAGCAGCGTTTACCATTGTACTTAGAGGATGAATTGTTTATCAATGTGCTCCCAAGGCAGCGGGATTATATGAGAGACTATTCCATATTGTTCCTGACTGTGAGAAAATCATAATTTTTCTGTGGCTTATTTTCCTCAAATGTAAAACAAGACAGTTAATTTAGAATTCTTAGAGCTTTATAAACACAAAAAGCATAAATATGAATTTGCTTTTTTCTGATTTGGGTACCTAAAAATCTAAATATAATTCTCTATTCCTAGAAGCACAGAACTTTACCTCTGTTTGACAGATGTTCTCTAGATGTGCATCGTTAATTTTATGATGTTGTCTTAGTTTCAGGTGTATAGCAAAGTGAATCAGTTATATAGATACATATATCCACTCTTTTTAAGTCTCTTTTCCCATACAAGTCATTACAGAGTATTGAGTAGAGTTCTTGATAGAACACATTTAACAGTGGTTGTTCCTGGAGTTTGAAGTAGTAGGTGATGTTTTTTGAAAATTGCATTTTCTAAAATTTTCAAATAAAGATATGCTTTGTATAACTTTTGAAGAGGGGAACAAAGCTAGATTTATTTTTTAATTTTAATTTGCTTGCAGAATTCATTGGATTCTCTAATCATGTAATTCAGCTTTCTTTCCTTTTTTAAAAAAACATTGATTTTTGGAGCTATTTAATTTGTATGTATACGTGATAAAAGATGGAAAATTATTTTTAAGGTGACAGACATAGAACATATATATCTTTATTGGAAGATAATTCTGTTCATTGAGATATAAGTGCTATAAGCATTTTGGGTCAAAACAAAATTACCTGGGGACTTCCTGGTAATCCAGTGGTTAAAATGCCATGCTTCCAATGCAGGGGGCATGGGTTCAAACCCTGGTCAGGGAATTAAGATCCCACATAATGTGTGGCCAATAAATAAATAAAATTAAAAAACAAACAAAAACCCTCAAAACTAAATTACCTGTATAAGTACTTCCTGTACATCTTTTTTAAAAATGCCAAACAAATATTGTCCCTTTGGAGTTTACTTTCTTATTGATAAGATGGGTATTAAATGATTAATTACCCACTCAGTTATTTAATTACAGTTGTAATAAATTTTACAAGAAGGTACAGGCTTCTCCTAGTGATGAGAACTAATATCTTTGGGGGGTCAAGGCAAGTTCATGTGGTGAAAGGTAAGAAGGGCAATACTTATTGAGATTCTTCACCTTTTTAACTTATCAAGTAAGTGGTGTCAAGTTAGAGCCTGAAGTCAGTGGGTGCTGAATACTTTTCTCACACAGTTATTTATCTCTTGAAAAAACCTTACTAAGGTTTCTTTTAAGAAGTACATATTCTCGTCAGCCTGAAAATGTCACTCTTAAATGTAGCTCCTTGTTTTTTTTTTCCTCGTAACCTTGCAGCTTCAGTTCAGTTCAATAGCTCAGTCATGTCTGACTCTTTGCGACCCCGTGGACTGCAGCACTCTAGGCCTCCCTGTCCATCACCAACTCCTGGAGTTTACTTAAACTCATGTCCATTGAGTCGGTGATGCCATCGAACCATCTCATCCTCTGTTGTCCCCTTCTCCCCCCACCTTCAATCTTTCCCAGCATGAGGGTCTTTTTATATGAGTCAGAGCTTCACATCAGGTGGCCAAAGTATTGGAGTTGCAGCTTCAACATCGGTCCTTCCAATGAATATTGAGGACTGATCTCCTTTAGGATGGACTGATTGGATCTCCTTGCCATCCAAGGGACCCTCAAGAGTCTTCTCCAACACCACAGTTCAAAAGCATCAACTCTTCGGTGATTAGCTTTCTTTATAGTCCAACTCTCACATCCATACATGACTACTGGAAAAAGCATATCCTTTACTAGACAGACCTTTGTTGACAAAGTAATGTCTCTGTTTTTTAATATGCTGTCTAGGTTGGTCATGATTTTTCTTCCAAGGAGTAAGTGTCTTTTAATTTCATGGCTGCAGTCACCATCTGTGGTGATTTTGGAGCCTCCAAAAATAAAGTCTGTCACTATTTCCACTGTTTCCCCATCTATTTGCCATGAAGTGATGGGACCGAATGCCATGATCTTAATTTTCTGAATGTTGAGCTTTAAGCCAACTTTTTCACTCTCCTCTTTTACTTTCATCAAGAGGCTCTTTAGCCTTTCCCTTCTGCAGGGGATCTTCCCAAACCAGGGATCAAACCCAGGTCTCCTGCATTGCAGGCATATTATTTACCAACTGAGCCACAAGGGAAGCCCAAGAATACTGGAGTGGGTAGCCTATCTCTTCTCCAGTGGATCTTCCCGACCAGGAATTGAACTGGGGTCTCCTGCATTGCAGGTGGATTCTTTACCAACTGAGTTATCAGGGAAGCCCAACCTGCAACTTAAAGTTGCATACTTACTTAATAGTAGTAATCATTTATCCAGGGCCAGATTCTGTGGAAGAATGTCAGTGTTAGAGATTATAAAAATCTGAGGAAGGATATGTATCCTAGCATTTGCTACAATTGTATTATTTCTATTTTGAGAGCTGTTTTGAGAGCTCTTCACAAATTTTTAGTTGAGTGCAGTTTTCGTAATCAACGTTTTCTTAAAAATTCTTTTTAGGTTTTCTTGGAGAAATTAGATAGTAATTTTATAATATAAGCTTTAAAGTGTGATGTTGATATAAACTTTCTGGTTATCTGTGAAATAATAAGCCAAGAAAAATGTGGTTTTTGTAAACATTTTCTTTTAATGTTTTTCAAGAAATATTTGTAATGGGGAGAAAAAAGATCAAATGCTCAAATAGTAGGTTTTGGTTTGAATGTATTCCTTAACATGCATGTATGTAACCAAACTGATGAAAGAAATATTTGAAAAAGCAGAAATTTTTGTATTTTTGTCTAGGTACATCACTGCACCTCAGTTGTTATATAGTAAATCTAATATTCTCACTTTCATCATAAGATTGGAATTTTTTAGAAAAGACTCTCACTAAGCTGATATGAAACTCTGGTTCCTATTTACATCTTCTGTTTAGGAAGGCAAGTTAACCTATATTGGTTCAGAACTCACGTCCTGGCTAACTTTTACAGACTGTGGTTCAAATATAATTTTCATTTTCAGAGTCATTGCAGCACTATTCTGGTTTGCCCTACTTGTTTTAAACCCAGAGGCAAACCTGAGACCTTAGTGTAAGTGGTATACCACAGTGCAGTTAGTGTCATGGTTTTACTGTGTTGATTCAAGTCAGTTGCATGTATAGGCTGCTTGATGGTGTGTTCCAAGGGCTTCATAGTAGTGGGTTAGTCGCTCAGCTGTGTCCAACTCTTTGCAGCCCCATGAACTGTAACCTGCCAGGCTCCTCTGTCCATGGGATTCTCCAGGCAAGAATACTGGAGTGGGTTGCCATTCCCTTCTCCAGAGGAGCTTCTCAACCCAAAGATCAAAGCCAGCTCTCCTGCATTGTAGGCAGATTCTTTACCATCTAAGCTACAGGGAAGGGCCTTGTACCAGTCTCTAACTTCTTCCACTCCAGATTCTACCCCAGATTGTGCATAGAGGGAGTTATATGTTGCCTCTTTGCTGTCATTAGTGTAAATCAGAGATGGTAGACCAGGACCCCACTGGACAGCCATCACTTGTTAGAGATGGCCTCTGCTTCGGTATTACAGGGCTGGGATGGTCTGAGAGGCTCTAGCTTGCAGACTCTACAGTACCTGGTGGGGAGGAGAAAGGTGCTCCCTCTGCTCACCGGAATGCAGGAATGTTCCACAGGGCTCAATGCCACTGTCTCCACAGCATGCAGTACCATGACTTCTTTCATTGTGTTTGGAGAAGGGTTGTTATGTCCAAAGGGTTCCGTCTTGCATTGCATCCTGCTCCGCAGCCCCTTGACCAGAGAATAAGCAGTACTTAGTGCTTGTTTTGTCCCATATACTACTTAGAGTTAATATAATGCCATTTCATATAAAATATAAGAACCTCGCATGCATGTTGTTCCATGACCCACCTCTCCTCTATAGTTGTATCACGTATCACAGTAAGTTATAATTTTTATTTTTAAAAGCCATTCATTTTAAAGAAATTAAGAGAAAGAGGAAAGAAAGAAACATTTAGCATTTCTAGTGCTCTTCATTTCTTCCTGAAGAACCTAATGTCCAGTCAATATAATTTTTCTTCAACCTAAAAACCTTCCTTTAGGCTTATCTCATAGTGCGTAGGACTTCCCTGGTGGCTCAGATGGTAAAGAATCCACCCACAATTCAGGAGACCTGGGTTTGATCCCTGGGTTGGGAAGATCCCTGGAAGAGGGCATAGCAACCCACTCCAGTATTCTTGCCTGGAGAATCGCATGGACAGAGGAGCCTGGCAGGCTGCAGTCCATGGGGTCGCAAAGAGTCAGACACGACTGAGCGACTAAACACACACACAACATAGGACATAGTAACTGCTGGTGATGAATTTTCTTTTTGTTTTTCTGAAAATGTTTTTATTTTTCTCTTCACTAG